ATAATATAAATAAATAATATAAATAATATAAATAATAATGATAACAACAATAACAACAAAAACAACAATAACAACAATATATAAAATTCACATTTTATGTGTATATATAAGTATAATCTAATTATAATATTATTTAATAGACAATGAACATGTGCAAATAGCGGAGGCCTCCGTAACAGAAAAACGCAATGTTTCAAAAACATATACAAATTACGCAAAACATATACAAATATTGCACAGTTCGTCAAGTTCGTTAGATGGACATTGGGTATGCAGTTTTTACGATAAAAAAAATATATTTATATATGATTCGCTGAATAGAAAAACATTGCATAATCAACATAAGCAATTCTTGGAAAAATTATTTCCAACATACGACTTTAACAAAAATCCTGTTAAATTTCCTAAAGTGCACCATCAACCGAACTATAATGATTGTGGTGTTTTTGCTATAGCTTTTGCGACTTCATTATTATTCAACGTTAAGCCTGATAAAGTGACATATGAACATAAGTTAATGCGTTCGCATCTGATAAAAATTCTTGAAACAAATTTAATTGAGCATTTGCCTCAAGATCCACAAATGAGTGCTCAAAAAGTACTTCCATTAGCAGTAATACGAGCAAGAGAATATGAATCCGCTCGTATACGTACGATGCGTTACCAGTTAAAAAGATCTTGTAATGATTATGCTATACAAAATGTGATTTAAAAAGTACAGTTATCGCAAAATGCTTCGAAGGAGAATTTAATAAAAGAATTAGTCACAAACACAAACAATAATATTCAAAATGGGCAAAATATACAGTCAACAGAAAGCACTTTAAAAGAAATTATAATAAAACAGACTAAGCCAAATAATGATAAATGTAATAATAATGATGAAAATTCTAGAAATCTATGTCAAGAAGATTCAAAAAATAATTGCAAAAAAAGCGTTGCTTAGACGATCAGAATTCAAAAAATGAATGTGCTAAACGACGTCGTTAGTGCAAAGATAATATAGAATATAATCGTAAAAAACATGATAAATATCAACAGAATTACCAAATAGTAGAGTTAAAAAAATACAGCTGTTATGTCTTTTGAAAAGAGTTGGGATTGAATCCGGAGTAGTCGAGATGTATAATGTAAATAATTCCTTTATTATATCTGAGTTCGCACAATCTTCCGTCGCCGAGGCACGTCTAATCACGACGCGTGCTCCTTTATCTCTCCTCTAATTGTCGATCCGCAGGCACAAAGAGCAAAACGAATAGCTCTTTGTCTTTATGTATCCTCCCGTGGGATGTCGCTTCCTAATGCGACGCGCGATATGCTAAATCTTATGATAACAACAGCGATACAAAAAAAATCCGGAAGGTTATCGAGATAAACAAGTGCAGCGATACAAAAGAGATTTAATAAATAATTGTGCAAAACAAACGCATCGTTATAAAGCGAATTTAGAACCAAATCATGCTAAAAAAAAGAATGCGTTACTCGAGAAATAGTCAGCACGAACGAGATCGACAAAAGCTTTATTGTGATAGTAAATGGTTGTATAATAAACGATATTATGAAAAAAATAAATCAAAATTAATCTTTTAAAAGAAAATCATAATACTGCCAAAAATATTATTAGAAAATATGAAAAACTTACGTCAAAAAATTATATAAAATTTAATAATCCTGCGGCAATTGAAAATATTTTTAACAAATTGGATATTAAAAATTACGATGAAAAATGATTGGAAGCCGAAAGAATTGTACGTCGCTGTACACAAATTCGAGATAGTTATGTTCGCGATATGTACAAAATATTAGCTTTGCTTAAAAAGAAATCAGAAGTGTGCTTGAGTCTTGCTACTAAATGCAAAACTATTTATTGATGAAAAATTATGTGCACTTTGTGGCAAATCAAAACATACAGCTTCATCTGAAAATTATTTTATCGATGGTACGTATCGTAATATTTCTTCATCACAAATATTGGTAATGAACATGGAAGGTCAAATTACGAATGTATTACCTTTGATAGAAGCACAAGGAAAAAAATCATGGTTATGCGACAATAGTTTATGTAAAATTCATGATCCATTTCTGGTTGATTGTTATGAAAAAGTCCTTCAATCGATAAGTATATGTACTTTTAAGAAAATTCCACAATTGTTACAAAAGATTCATGAATGTACAATAAAAACAAATTAGGAATGTATAATAAAAACAAATTCGAATACAAAGTTGGGTCACACGCATATACCCGTTGAACATGGTCGTACTCCTAAATATAAACCATTAGCTGATCATGTTTTGAAAATTTTATGAACAGATCTTAAAGATGTTAGTCTCATTGTAATTGACGAAGTGTCAATGATATCTAATACATTTTTTATGTATATAAACTTACGACTACGTGAAATATACAATACTACTGATTGTGATGATGGTTGGTTTGGTCGAAAGCACGTTCTTTTATTTGGAGATCTGCTTCAGTTACCTCCTGTACTTGAAGATCCTGCTTTTATTTGGAGACACGGTAGTGTCTCGGCACTAAGCCAAGCGCGCGACACTGCCGTGCCTCTTTTACGCGAAACTGAAAAATTTTCGGGGTCGAGATGATCAGATCTCAGTAACGGCTGAACCGATCATGTTCTACATACGCTCAATCGACAAGAAATACTTAAATTGTATGATAAAAGTGCTTTCATTTTTTTCCTACGTGCCCTACGAGCGGAGATATCGCGACGCAAAGTCCGGATCTGTGAATTTTCACGTTTTATTTTTAAGATACGTCGTCATCAACGTCGCCGACCAGAGAAAATGTCCATCTCGTTTTTTCGATAATAGAGGGCCTTTGACTTTATGTGTTATCTCACTCTATCTATCATCTCACTCTATCTATCTATATCTAACCAGCAGACCAGTGTTGCATGGTGTATCACATATGACGCGCGCGCGATTTTAACCTTACAATTAAAAATAAAATATTATTCAATATAATATAAAATATTTATTAATAATATACATATGTTATTATATATATATATAAAT